ATTTGATTTTCGAGGGATAAGAATTGAAATAAGTTGAAAAAAAACGAGCCGTTTTGCCCCAGTAGTTTTGAAGATATCGCGAAATATCAAGAAATGAAAAGGTTTTTTGTTGCGTTTGAGACCGTTTTTAGTCGTTAATATCTCCTGAAGAAATGAAGCAATTTCGATGGGTTACATCTCATGTTAAAGCTTGCAAAAATACCTTGAAATTTAAAAAAAAATCGGTAAACTTCCCTCTACCGTTTTAGAGTTATCGGCGCTGGGATTTCAATTTTTGTGAATTAATTGCATCCAATCATCAGGAATTCGTTTGAAATGAATTTCCCGCGGATATTGGTGATAATTCCGATGTAATAAAAGATGGGATTGGTGAAACATTCCGAGTGAATGTGAAATGTTTGATTATTTAATTTCAAATTGAACGCATTGGGGCGTGGTGCATTTAATTTGTCCATGATTACACAGATTCGCCTGGGGGCTCAGAGTGATTATTCGTCACTGTTAAATTTTTTTTTTTTTCAAGATTCCTAGTAACAGGAATTAAAAAATGTCAGAAAAAAGACAACCCGTTTTGTCCCGTTATTTTGCAAAATATCGCAAAATTTCAAGAAATGAAAAGGTTTTTTGTTGCGTTTGAGACCGTTTTTAGTCGTCAATATCTCCTGAAGAAATGAAGCGATTTCGATGGGTCACATCTCATTTTAAAGCTCGCAAAAAAACTGCGAAATTGAAACAAAAATCGGAAAATTGCACTCTACCGTTTTAGAGTTATCGGCATTATATTTTTGTAAATCAATTGCATTCAATAATCAAGAATTCGTTTGAAACGAATTTCCTGTAGATATTGGTGATAATTCTGATCCAATAAAAGATGGGATTGGTGAAACATTCCGAGTGAATGTGAAATGTTTGATTATTTAATTTAAAATTGAACGCATTGGGGCGTGGTGCATTTAATTTGTCCATGATTACACAGATTCACTCGGGAATTCAGAGTGATTAATCGAGACAGTTGTATTGTTGTGTGTAAAATACACGAACAATGGTAATACTGTTGAGCAATGAAAGAGGGTGAATGATTTTGCCGGTGAAAATAATAGCTGAGCGTGTGCATACAAGGGGATTGAGTGAGTCTGGGTGAGTGTTGGCTGGTCGATCGGGAAATCGGGTCGCAGGATGTTTCCTTCCGGGTATTCGTCTGCAGCTACCAGACCCATCCTCTCCTACAGTCGTTAAGGAAAATACGACGTCTGGAGGAAGTTTAAGCACCCGACGGATCGTCAAACTTTAACGCTTTCGGAGAGACTACTATCAACTATGGACCAGCTAAACTGATAACGTGTAACGAGGTACTGTCGGGGTAGACGAATAAAAGATAAAAATACTGGGGGAATGTTTGTTCCTCTACTTTGATTTTCGGAATACAGCTGAATAAAAGTTTAGAATAAACGGGGAGTAGTGGACGAATCTCGGGAGTTTTGCCATTTGAATTTGGGGAGAAAAACATAGTAAGCTAGTCGGAATATATTGAATGCTCAAGTCTGATTCGCTGTGAGAAAAAATTAGGTCTGACGAAACGAGTGGAACAGATTTACTTGAGGAAATTAACCAACTTCGTGGAGGGAAATTTAATGTCGTTCACAAAAATTAAATTTTTGTCGTGATCATGAGAAATATCCCTAGAAGAATTCGAACTGTTGGCAGGAAAGAATATAATCTATTGCACGACAATCATTTGATCTGAGAGAACTCCATAGGTTTATACCATAGAAAGTATACATTGACGAGGAGAGAATATTTTTTCCCCAAAAAAATTGTCCCCTCGAAATTATTTAGTTTTGCCAATAACACAATTATCGGCAAGAAAATTGCAGTTTCCTCTTGAAATTATCATTTGTTCCATGAAAATTATAAGTGTTTGTTGGACAAAGATATACACTACTCAATAACATCCACTTAATAACCGGAGACTCATATAATTCTCTGGAGGACGAATGTATTGACCCGAGAGACATATGAATGTCTCACGACAACAATTACTAGTACGAAAATTGTCAGGATTTGGTGGAAATTTTCTGTTTTGTGCACCAGTAAATTGTTTAAACACGAGAAAAGATCTCTTGAGGGGAATATATAATTTTTTAAACATAATTTTTAAGCTCTTCAGGGAAACATACATTTTTGCGCTAAAAAAATACACTGTATTTTTAAATTCTTCAAACTCGCAAATTATTCTTTGCGTCATGATTGTCAATTTTTCTCAGGTTTTCCAGGCGCAAAATTGAAAAAACGAAATAATTCTTTAAAAAATAATTCTTAATTCTTAATTCGTAATTAAGAATTAAGAATTAATTCTTTTTGTGTGGATTTTCTGTTACCATGTAGTTTTATGGGACTCATTTATTTCAATTCGTTCCATTTATCTTTTTTTTTGTAAATGGAATAAATTTGATTCTCTCTAATTTTTTGATTTGGACATAATTTCTGAATTCTAAAAAACCGATAAAATTCCCCGGTTTCTTAGAAAATTCTCGGAAAATGTCGGTTTTTTTATTCAAGAAAAATTTAGAAAATCATGCAGTTTTCTAAAAGATTCTCGAATTTTTTGAATAATTAAATAAACTTGTTCACTTAAAAAAAAAATTGATTCATAACACTCTTCTTATTTTTCAACAATTACGTAAAGTTAAAGGGAATTGATCGAAGATTATTCTTTAATTTTTCACTCATTGTTTGTCAATTAAATAGCGTGAGAAAAATTTGAAGAAAATCCTGAATATTCAGCGTCATTTAATTTACACTTTGCCAAAAATGATCATTTTTTTAAACATTCCTTGTTTATAAATAAATAATTAAAATTGTTTAAACTTACAATTTTATTCTGTTAAATCAGTTGTGTAGTTGAAAAAAAACGACTTGTTTCGTCCGAGTTAAAAAAAAAAGAATATAATATTTTCAAGTTGAGAAAATCCTTTACCAAAAATGAAAAAAAATCCCTGCAGTTGTCTATCGTGTGGAGTAAAGCGTCAACTTTCCCACAGTGACCACTTTCCACAAACTCAATTCCCAAGAATGAAATTTTCTCGAGGATAACCGGGTCGTAGATTTCACTCTGACAATAGCACCGGCTAGAAGGGGATTTTCCTGCTAACCCTCACGTGAAAAGTGTTTAGATGAGGCGTCCAAAGCTTTTAACTTCAGAGTCTTCACTTTAGGGCGAGGCTCGGCGTTATTCTCATACAAGAGTATTGTAGCGGAAAGTTCTCATAAGGCTTCTGGAGATTATTTTTGCACTGTCAATGGATGGGAATTGAATTACCTGAGGGAGTCAATTAATCGCGAATCAAACGCCTCGACAATGTTCCGGATATCCAAGTAGTTTGGCTATTTTTTCTCCAGTGAAATGCTTTTCTATTTTTGTAGTCGAACATCAGAACTTTCATTTGAGCCCCTTTGGTCCCAAGTTTTCGGACATTTTACAATGATTCTATTATTTCAGTACCGAAGTGGTAAACCGGTTTAAGGGGAGACTACTATGAGTTTTAAAATTCGTGGGTTATTGGAGTGAGACTTTTCATACGTTAAAGATCGATTATATAGATCTGAAAACGAATAATTAGTGCAAAAAAATTTTTTTCTATTGTTCGTTTGCTCGAAAACGCTTAAAATGCTAAAAATAGTCCAATCAAAATTGCAATAATTGCGTAATTTTTACGTAATTTACGTAATTTTTACGGAACATTTCTCTCCGTGTGGGATTTATGAACGATTGCACCCGCAAAAATCACATTACCCTTTTCGTCATCGCGAAAGCACGGAAGAAATCCATTTATGAAACGTCTTCGGGGGACACGCGTGCATAATCAACTGCACTAAACCCTGTGATTCTCCCGTATTCCCCGAGATACATTAGCTGTAACACTAGGGTCGATTAACTAAAATTATAGTGGCACAATGATTTATCACCCCAGACCGATGGATAGTGGGGTGATAAGGTGCCGGTGTGGCACACACGATGTTAATCATGCGAGGGGTAACGTTTAATGGTGGCTCATTGGTGGAGCAAAAAATACCACTAATATTGAATGTTCTTTTACATGCTGCACTGTCTGAAAATTACTTCCATTTCTATACTATTAAAAGTTTTCTACTGAAAGCTCCGATGAGTTTTGGAAATTTCCACCATTTCCACTGAAATTTCAAGGATTTTTGTCATTGAAAATTCATCATTTCCGGGGAAATCAATGAAAAATCAGAAGAATTCAGAGAAATCTCTTCTTGAATTTCAGATTCCTCTGAATTTCCAGGAAATTCCTTCAAAAATTCCTGGAATTCCAAGAATTTCAAACGAATTGCCTGAAAATTCAAGGGAAATTTTGGTAGTGAATATTCATTTTCACTTGAAAATTCACGTTAATTGTGGAATTTTTGTCTTCTTGCCGCTAAAAAAATGGGACTTTACTAGAATTTTCAGAGAAACTTGAAATTCCATCAACTTTTTTCACTTATTTTCCTTTAAATCGAATTTCAGATTTTTTAAAGGAAAATTTAGTCAAATTTTTCCAACAGTGTAGTACAATATCTTAAAATTCTTGAAGAGTAATTCAGATGGGAATTCTGTGTACATTGTATGTCCAGGAAGACAGAAATTCCATAATTTACATGAATTTTCGAGTAAAAATGAATATTTAGTGCCAAATTCCCTTGAACTGTCAGAAAATTCCCTTAAAATTCTCGGAATTCCTGGAATTTTCATTAATTTCTCGAGAATAAGTGAACTGAAATTTGCTGTTTCCACGGCGCATGAGCCTCTCGTATTTTTTTTCACAAAATTGCAGTGAAAAAAAAATGCAATAAGTTCAGTAGAAATTACAGTATTTCCCACAGAAATTTGTAATTTCCGCCATAATGACAATAAGTTCTCCTCGTTTTCGACATTTACACAATCCAAGATGTCACATAAATGTTTCAACAAATGAGAAAAGGTGAAGACTACTTACACTTGAGACATTGTAAGTTCTATACTGTTCCTTGGGGCTGCTGGCATCATTCTGTTCGCACTGTTTATTCTTGAATGCCCGATAATTTTCCCTCAGCTGTTTACCATACTGCAACAAACATGCAGAAATTATTGTAATGATTTAAAATTGATGTGGAGTTTGAAATAATAGTTGAATAAACAATGATAGGAATTCTAGAATTTGCAGAAACATTCTGGAAAGGTTACTAATGCATGAAAAATTCAAATTTTCTTGAGTGGGTCGACCGCACCGTCAGCAAACATGAATATCTTCTGACCAAATGATGCGATTTGGATGAATTAGGACTCATTTTAAAGCTTAAAAAAATCCTTGAAAATAAAAGAAAAATCGGAGAATTTCACTCTGCCGTTCTCGAGTTATGAATAGTCGAAAATTGTCCGTTTTACCCTAATCTCATCATTTTTGGAAGAAACGCAAAACTATGATGCACTGAGAGAAACAATTTGTTCTGCCGAAAAATGATATGTTCCCTTCAGATCGTTTGTCGTGTTGAATCAATCTGCTTGTGGACAAAAAAAAAAGTAAACTGAAAAAAAAACTGTGTTATTGGCAAAAGTAAATAATTTCAAGGGGACAATTTTTTTTGGGAAAAAAATATTCTTTTCTCGTCAATGTATTCTTTCTATGGTATAAACCAATGGAGTTCTCTCCGATGAAATGATTGTCGTACAATAGATTATATTTTTTCCTGCCAACAGTTCGAATTCTTCTAGGGATATTTCTGATGATCACGACGAAAATTCAATTTTTGTGAAAGATATTAAATTTTCTTCTACCAAGTTGGCTAATTTCCCTCAAGTAAATCTGTTCCACTCCATCAAATATTCTCACGTGGAACATATAGTTTTTCGGCAGAGCTAATTGTTTGCAAGATTTGACTCCCAGAAAATGATAAATGATACACTTCATCTCCTTCCGATCGCCCAAATAAAACTGAATGCCCCGCAACAAGCGTATACCAACAAATCTTAAGCATGCGGTTGACTTGGCAAAACACTCCCAGCAGTGGGGGGCAAATATCATTTATCGCCCAGTTGGTTTTGGAAGTGAAATGGCCCCTCCTCCGAGGGGGGAGGGGGGAGGGGGCTCAAGGAAGTTGGCTAGTTGCGGCAGAATCAAACTCCAGTGGTCGTACACCACAATAGGCCAAACATCACCTCCAAATGTTGAGATTCAAAGTTTCGTAATTTCCTCCGTTTTACTGGGGTATATCACCCGTGTGCCTCTCCTCAATTTATGTACAATTTGCATGTATATACGGGTGGGTATGTGCGTCATGTTAGTTGGCTGTAACGGGAGGGTCGTCGCGCAGATAGATATAGCAGGGGGCGCGTATGTACCCGCGGTATCGACCCAGTGAGAAGACAGGCGGACATCCCAGTGAATCCTCTATCCACCCTTTCCCCCACCCCCTGGCCTTTAGATTAGTCATTTATAATTCATGCTCGAAAGTCAGAAAGGGAATTCGTTTGAGACATGAGAAAAACTATTGTGTTGCATTCAGACGTTTGTGTCTCTAAATTCAAGTCATTTTTAGTGTCTCAAGTTGAGACGAGCATTCTAGACATTCTAGGTGTCTTACTGGAGGATCTTTTGTTGCAAACCTATGATGGCGCATTTATTCATTTTATTTTACAAATACTAGATCCATTTTTCCGTAATGGTCGCTCATGTTGGGTAAAGAGAGCCAAATATTTCCACTGACAATTTTGATTGCAGTAAAAATCGTGGTCATGAAGCTAAATTTGGAGAGAATGGGAAAATAAGGGTAAATGAGTTTTTGTGATCAAAAATACAAATGGAAAGTATTTTTCGCGTAGAGTAATCAGTGACAGGCATATTCATTAATCATAATTACCGTTAAATTGTGAAGTTATCAATTTTTAACATAAATCTAAAAATTTTAAATATTAAATTAAGCATTAATTTGTACATTCAAATTTTGAAATATTTTAACAACCAATAATTTAGGTAGGAGAATTGACGATTATTTAGATCATCGAAAATCAAGTACCGAAAAAGTTCATATCAATTCAATTTTAGGTATTCACAAAAACGAATTCACGTTTTTCATGACAATTTTTGAAATATTTTGGAACCTACAAGGCAGAACGGGTCGCCCTATCCAGCATAGCTTCATAACATGTAATTAACCGACGCACATACGGAACAAGGCAATGTTTCCTCCCGAACAACTTCCCTAATTACATACCTGGTGATGACGTGCCCTCAAGACCAAAATTTCATGCAAATGACGAGAACATGAAACAGAACTGAAGTATTTCAATGAGAACGAAGCAAGCAAGTTAAAAAAAGAACGTTCCGTTTTTACTGAATTGAGATAATTATTCCGGCGACTGAGAGAATCCTCGTTATTGAGAATCGAAAGAGTGCGCCACTTGTATTTTCAGAGATGCCATGGCCAAGAGAGACGACTAATTGAAGGTGGCTCCCAGGCATTACGAAGCGCGTTCGAATAATTACGTAATTGAATGACCCGAGGACCCATTGGCAAGTGGGAGATAGAGAGATAGCTGAAGTAGAGTGGGTTGTAGAGTGGATGGAGGCGAATGATAGCGCTTACGGCTCAACTACGGTTAATGAGTAAGCCCTGGATCGGGGATAATGAAGTATGTAACTTCAGATGATGAGACCGACTGTTATTAATCGAGTTTCGCTAGGAATGAGTCAATTGATAGTTGAGGGCATTGATCGGATTCATTAGAGTCTTTGGGATGTTTGGAAAATCTTGTAGTGAGCAGGGATTCGGTGATGCATTGCGCCAAGTGCGTTGTCTTCCTGGCGAAGATGATGTCTTGTAAAAGCAATTGCAGGTGTGCGCATTTTAAGAAGCGAATGCGAAGGTTTGCATCAACTGAATTCATTTTGAAAGACTAGAGGTGATGCAAAAGACTGGTCAAACCTCAATCAAGTCCTATTTTGCTCAAGCCGGAAAGTATCGTCCATCCTAGAAGAAAGTGCAGATAATATCGGATAAGACAAGTTTCTCCGAAGAAACTGCAAGTTCTTTCATAGGAACCAATCCCAGAAGCTGGCGCGATCTTTTTCATTATTTACCATTTTGAGGAAATGATCGTTCATTCCAGAAGAAAGTGCAGATAATATCGGATAAGACAAGTTTCTCCGAAGAAACTGCGAGTTGTCGCATAGGAACCAATTCACGAAGCTGGCGCGATATTTTTTATCCTCTACCACTTTGAGAAACTAGAGATGATGAAACAGAGGGTCATCAATTGAATCGAGCCAGGTCCATTAATCGAGTGCATCGAAATCATCAGAAATTCTGTCAACATGGGTCAATCGCCGTCTCTTCAATCCGGAAACGATCATTCATTCCATAAAAAATCGCAAACGTTGCAATCGAAGAAGTTAATGCGATGCTTTGCATATACTCAAGCCATTCTGAGAAACTGAAGAAGATGCGAAAGACTGATCCCACAATCAAGTCATATCCTCCTCAATCCGGAAAGTATCGTCCATCCCAGAAGAAAGTGCAGATAAGATCGGCTGACAAGTTTCTCCAAAGAAACTGCGAGCTTTCTCATAGGAACCAATCTCAGAAGCTGACGCGACGTTTTTCATCCTCTACCATTTTGTAACCCTAGAGATGATGAAATAGGACGGTCATCAATTGAATCGCCCCAGGTCCATTGATCGAATACATCGGACTCATTAGGAAACCCGTTGAAGAACAGAGATTTGCGCCAAGGATATCTTCCAGTCTTGTCTTTGTAACTCACCTCAAATCTTCTCCTTAATGCCGGAAATTATCGTTCCTTCCAGAAGAAAGCGCAGATGATATCAAATAAGTGAACCTCCTGCGAAAATTCAAGTTGTCTACTAGAAGCTGACGCGACGCTTTTCATTCTCTCAACCCATTCGACAAATCCGAAGGAAGAAATCCTTCCACTGTTTCCCCCCCGCCCGAGCGCTTCCGATCGACACAGATTGAAAGCGACGAAAAAAGATTGCCGAGAAAGAAAGAGTATCCCCTGGACCTTCCAAACTAATCCACAACTCTGCAACCCAAAATAGGACTGAAAAAAAAATTGAGTATGAGATAGATAGAGTACCAAAGAACTCCACAGAGCATTCACACCGGTGATCCCGGACGAATATTCTCCCTTGCACCGGATGATGAGAATGAGGTGGCCCGAGGTTCAGCTACAAGATAAAAGTAGTGTACATAGGTATAGTTTTCAATGATGAGAGAAGAAAAATGGTAGAGACACTCAGCAGTAGAAAACTGTTGGTGCATGATGGTTTCTTCTCTGAGATATCCCTGAGGGGCCACACCATTCTGGCGTCTTCCTCTTTATTTCCTTGCTGCTCGCAAAATGAAAGAGTTACAAAGCCCCCTCTTGTTCGAAAGAACTGTTAAGTACTACCTTCTGCCTGAGCGGGAGATGTAAAGAGAAACAACGAAAAAGGAAAATAACTAAAAGAAACCTAAAATGAAGAGAACGATAAAGTCTAAGAGTGAAGTGGAGAAAAAGGATGAAGGGAGAATGGAAGTGGAGAGTAAGCAAGCAGCATGAGTTGGAGAGAAATCTCGAGAACAGGAATTGCACTCTGGACGTTTTTAAAAAGCTGCGTATTGGTATGGGCAGGATAAGGGTTAGCGGAGATTTTTCAGTACGGTCGTCTCACTGGTTCTTCATGAGAGAAAGGGATGGTGAAAAGCAACGATATGCCAAAGACATCACGAAACACTTGAGCCTGCTCGGTGACAAAGGCATGCTTAAGCACCAAGGCGGCTTTCAAGGGCAGTCTCAGACGCCACTTCGCACAGTGGTGAATGACACCCCCGCCTATTTTCAGGTGTCTCATTCACCATTCTGCTAACCATTTGTCGATATCATTATGGGGCTGCATGCAGCAGCGTAATTGCTTGGACAATTTACCGAGAAACTGCTCTCGCCCTCATGGGAAAAACAGGAAGGGGGGAGCTTGATTGATGCACTGTACCTTGGCGAACCTCATGGCTGTCAGCCAGCAGGTGCGTGATTTTTCACTGTTGAATGCTATGACCTTGAGGCCCGGCACCCCGGCCTCCGTGTCTTCGGCTTCAGCGTTGCTGGAGGGCCTCAGACAGGCGCCCCACTCGAAGGGCGCGTTAAAGTACTTCTTTGCGTTCGGAATCTTGTACACGTGGTAATCGGACAGATGGGCAAATGGTACTCGCTGGTCGTTATCCTGAAACATAAATAATGCAAATCGTTAATTTTTGTTGAATAAAAATTCACAGCTAGTAATACAGCGGATGTGAATTCTCAGAGAAAATTGGCAACACGAAACTAAACAATCACTCACGGAGATTGCAAAGGCGGAATGTAAATAGCTGATGCTAAAAGTCGTCTCTGAATGTTTGCTGATGTTTAAAGACATCATTTCCGGGTTTGAGTTGCAACAGAAAATCCATAAACAGCGTGAATATCCCGTCCCGTTAACATTTAATTGACTTAACCATCAAATTTTGTGCAAAAAGTCTCTCCATATATACCTCATGAATAATATAAGTGCCATTCTTGGAAGAATAATTCATACTTATTCGGACGTGAACCTGCGTGTTATGATGTCCTCTGATTAGGGTGGTTCACAATAGTAAAGGCTCACATTTTAATACTACAAATTGGCTGCTTGTTGAATGCCCAACGGCTGGCCATTACATCAGGTATCCCTTAATTTCTTGAAAAGTATTCCCTGAATGAATACTTATCAGGAAAACGTTTCAATTGAATCGCTAAAGCGGTATATTTGCAGGCTCCCTCGAGTCGTTAAAACCATGGAAACCAATGGAATGAGAAATATATATTTCTGGAAACGAGAGGATACAAAAAAAATGAGAGTTGTGTGTAAGAGCTGAGGCATAAGACGTTGGGCTTGGCAGTGCACAATAATGAGTTATGAGGAACGGCTCAAGGATTGCGCAATTATTGCTTCAGAAGTTCTTCTTATGCGAATTCACGTGAAGACATTTCAATATTTTTGATAATTAGCGTGTCCAAGTGAATTGAAATTGGTGGAAAGTAGATGATTGCAGTTTCATAAAAAAAATTTATTACGTTCATTGACTTCTGAGAGAATCTCCATAATGAATTGCCCCATAATGAACAATTGAATTAAATGATGAATCGGATCCCATTAGCCGAAGCAAGTTATTGCCATAATTGACGAGGAAAATGTTGCCCCAACCCCGTGAATTTAGCGCCAACAATCCAAGTATTCGTGCGACGTTGCATTGTTAGTCAAGACGCCCGCTGTGTACTCGGCCAATATTAGAAGCTCGCAAGGTGCCTAGCTTGGAGATATTCACCTTGGGAAATCCTGTTGGCATAGAGGCGATAGTAACTGGCGCTATTCGTTATACAGGAGATACGGGGATATAATGCAGCGCCGTCAAATATTTGAGGACCAGCTCAGTGTTGTAGGGCATTGCACATACCTACTTCCTTCACACCCCACAAATGTATCTGACGTGTATTCTCGCATAAACCCCACCTACTCATCTTGCCTTTCCAGTGATTATGTAACGAGAGGAAGGTGAAACGTAGGATGGACAAATTTGCTGAAGGAAAACAGCACGCCTAGGTTGCAATTAACAAGCGTATTAAGAATTAAGATTGTGGACTTTTCGTCATGTCAGTGGATGCAGGAAAAATTATCAACTTTGATTTCTGTTGACAAAAGACTAGATGAGAATTTGAATGGTGCTAAATAAAATTATCGATCAATAATCATTAAAGAAGAGTAATTTTGGTCAAGGCAAAAATTTGTTCGTACAGGAGTTTTTATTGGACAGTCTTTCATAAAAGTTCCTCGGACTCTTTTTTTTCTTGCAGTTTCGACAAGAATCCCTACGTCGTAGTGAATGCAAAGTTATCCCAGGTCAGAATTCCGCGAAAAAAGATCTCGATCTGACTCATCACTGAATTCGATCGCAATGACCGATCAGTTGCTTTCTAGAAACGGCCCATTCATGTCCCCCGCGATGTTATTTTTTTCTGTCATCCATACCCAACGATGATGACGCGAACCGATGGAGAAAGGTAGAAGCGGGTTGAGGAGGATTATTGTTAAAAAAAAAGAACGCCGAAGAAATCGTAAAAGAGAATAAAAAAAGTCATCTGCAAGAAACCTGCTGGCAAGCCAGTCTTCGAAAGGGACCGGCTCAACCGGTTCGCAAATACAATTCCAGAAGTCAAGATTAGCCATTCGTGATTAAACGATGATCCCTGTTGCGAATTTTGAGAGGCTTATTCCGATAAAACTACATCGTTGATGGATCGTTGCACTCAATCCTGGGTAGGACAAAGTAAAGTAGCAAGAGAAAACTTCTAAAAGTATAAATCATTCATGTCCTCAGGATCGTCCATTTGTTCAACAGCTCCAGTAGTTGATGAACGCAATCTTCTCCGCAATCGAGGATTAAAAAAAAATTGAAGTTTAAATATCAATTTCGATTCAGTTCATGGCTGATGAATATTCATAACTCCTATCAGAGCATCAGAATCTCTCTAATTGATCGATGTGAGCCTTATGACTGATTGAATGATCGCCACAATGGAGAGTATTCAATAAAACCATCAACGGATCGATCCAATCAATCACTCCTTCTCAAGTATCTTTGATCTTGGCACACCACGCAAAATTTGTGCTGTCGTCACCTCCCAAAAACATCCGATACTAAAATTCTATTGATAATACCATCCCGAGGATCATCAGAATGCCACAAAAATCCCCGAACGCCCACCGCGAGAAGATCCGCGATGAAAAAAGAAAACAAAAAATCCATTAGGTGATTCTCAAGTGAGGGTCAAGTGTCTTAAAATATCCAAAAATTTACGATTGTTGGCATCGACTTGGACACAGCTTGTATGTGTGGGCCTCGTTGAGGATGAGGGTCGTTGTCTTGAGAAGTCACTAGTCTGTGAGGATGACAAGGTGATTATATGATCGCCATTTCAGTGATATGAATCTTCGGTGGAGCATAGGTCAGGTTTCTTTTTTGTGGATTCTGTACCGCAGAGTCGAGGTGGATTTAGGCACTGCGCCAAGGCGAATTGGGAGCGCTTGCTTATTTTTCTTCACCGACTTGCGATTGACGTTGAATCCTGACCATACGGTAAATACGGCACACGTTTGAAATTAAAGATGACATGTTGAGGATTTTAATGGAGAGAATTGGACTAGATCAATCAAGAATAGTCGACTTTAGAAAAGGTGGATGCAAGGTTACGGGATTCATCAAATAGTTCGGGTTGCATTACGTAAATTTAGGCTGAAAATACTCTTCGGAAGTATGAGATGATGATGATAGAGTAGGTAGTATCCAGATGACTGCAAAATCAACGCAGAAGACGAAGCTTGAAAGGAATATGCTTTCAACTAGATTTTGGGTCATGCATCAGGGAAATTAACTCGTTGGATTAACCATTAATTTGATGTTGAATTCTGACCATGCGGTGAATATAGCACACGTTTGAGATTAAAGATGACATGTTGAGAATTTTAATGGAGAGAATTGAACTAGATCTATCAAGAATAGTCAACTTTTGAAAAGGTGGGATTCATCAAATAGTTCGCGTTGCATTACGTAAATTTGGACTGAAAATAGTCTTCGGAAGTATGAGATGATGATGATGAAGTAGATAGTATCCAGATGACTGCAAAATGAGCGAAGAAAACGAAACTCGAAAAGAATCAGCTTTCAACTGGATTTTGGGTCATTCATCGTGCAGTCATACATCAGGAAAATTACTTGCAATGTCTCTGTAGACAGTTGGATTAACCTCGCAAACTGTACAACATTACCCGAGATAATCCCACCGGTGAAACTATGATTATAGATCCAAGACTGAATGTAGGCCATCGCTGTGCTGTATTGCCAGTATCAAGAACCCGTGTGCGACTGGCATTATCATTACGGTAATAACGCAAGAGTGTAACGGTGAACGCACTGGCGGAAGTTGACGATGACAATGATATGAGATACATAGCAATAGTCGACCCGACATGTGAGTTTAATCGGAGTACTCTGAGGGTAATTTGAGTTATCGATAACTATCAAGTGGAGATTGATGGCAATGGGCGGAACGTGGAAAGTTTTCCAAAATTTGGTCGTTGAGGGCCATTTAGTCTTGACTAATCCAGTTTGGACTTTTATTTGACAAATTGGAAGGTTAAATACTTCCACTTTCCGTTGTCTTCTTCGTTCCAATGAATTAATGCGGCTAAGTAATTAATCGGTGCATGAAATTGTCGATCTATACCAACATTATACCTCAAGCATAGGCAGAAAACCTACTCGCACGAGCCAGAAAAGGAATCCTGCTATTAATGGAACTCTTTATTGGATTTTCCTAATAGAATTTGTATTCCGCGTGGATTCTCTGAAGTCATTCATACCCCTGCACAATCGATTATCACAATACAAGCCAATGCACCCTCGCAACTTGATGTGTCTCGTCACTGGTAAAGTAATATTATTTTCCAAAATTGAAACAATTTCATGTAAATCGAGAATTTTCACCTCAATTGCGCACAACGTAATTTCAACGTCTTTATACTCATTTTGCAATTTCATAGAAATGGTTATTGCAGGTACAAGAAAATGGGAAAATGGAAATTGAAGAGGGGTGGGAGGGGGAAAAATGTTGCGGATCGGGGGCTGGTGCTTTGGATTCGAGTTGGAGAATACACGTTAACGAGTTTATTGTTTCTCGCTTCAGCATTTACGGAAACAAAAGTGCGCCAGTTGGTTCAGAGAGGAGTTAAACGTAGGTGGTAAGTGTTTCAGGATTGTAGACGATAAAACGAGAATGTACTTTTGTTGCTTTTCATTACTTTTTCTCCATTATTTTGTGCACTCGGCTGGAATGATATCGTTTACTTTGATTTTATCGATAAGTCGATGGAACGATGGTGAAGGTATAAGTGTAGGAAGATTTTGGATTTGCAGGTTCATGAAAAATCCTAAGATTTTTGGGAATTTCATGCGGCAAATTACTTCATTTTTTCTCCTCGCATTTCCATTCATTTTCATTCATTTCATAAATTCAATTTTCTTCCTGTTAGTCTAGATATCTTGATGACAGTAGTTTTTGCAGTTCATTTTCAAAAGAATAACTAGTCCTTTTGGCCCATGATCTCCTTCATTTTCATCATCAAGAATCGGAGACGGAAAATCTAGAAAA